TCTCATGCAATTCAACCTCGTTTGTGGCCAGCACAAAAACAAAGCTTCTGGAGTAGAACAAGTGCCTTCAAAGTAAGCAATTACCGCACAATTACGGAGGAAACAACTCTTTCAGATGTGGTTACATAATGTGTCCTGAACTCGGCTGACCTCCCCTGCCTCCTCCTGCAACGCCCTGAACTTCTCTGAACATTGTGCAACTTTGTTGGCTTTTGCAAGGGAGGGGCAGGTACGGGGAGAGCAAGGGATGACCCTCCCTCAACTGCGGCTGGACCGGCAGCAGAAACATTCCAAGCGGCAGGATGGTTTCCTGTCTCCCTGGGAGGAAAGAGGGTTAAGAAGAAGCCCAGACATCCAAGTGGGGAGAAAGAAGATACCTGCTCGATCCACCTGAGCCAAAGCCAAGATCTTCGGGTAGGACCAGAAGGGAGCTGCTTTATGCATAATATAGAATACTGATGTATTTATTAGGGTTGGATAGGTTCTTTCGGAAATGTATTAGGATACAAGAATACAAGATACAAACTACAAGAAAGGAGATTCCACTGCTGAACGGCTCTCACAGTCAGGAAGTTCTTCCTCATGTTCAGATGGAATCTCCTCTCTTGTAGTTTGAAGCCATTCTTCCATTGCGTCCTAGTCTCCAGGGAAGCAGAAAGGAAGCTTGCTCCCTCCTCCTCCCTGTGGCTTCCTCTCACATATTTATACATGGCTCTCATCATATCTCCTCTCAGCCTTCTCTTCTTCAGGCTAAACATGCCCAGCTCCTTAAGCCGCTCCTCATAGGGCTTGTTCTCCAGACCCTTGATCATTTTAGTCGCCCTCCTCTGGACACAATATTCCAGCTTAGAGTCAATATCTCTCTTGAATTGTGGTGCCCAGAATTGGACACAATATTCCAGGTGTGGTCTAACCAAAGCAGAATAGAGGGGTAGCATTACTTCCCTGGATCTGGACACGAGGCTCCCCTTGATGCAGGCCAAAATCCCATTGGCTTTTTTTGCCGCCACATCACATTCCTGGCTCATGTTTAACTTGTTGTCCACGAGGACTCCAAGATCTTTTTCACACGTACTGCTCTCGAGCCAGGCCTCATTGTCCCCCATTCTGTCTCTTTGCATTTTGCTTTTCCTGCCAAAGTGGAGTATCTTGCATTTGTCCCTGTTGAACTTCATTGTGTTAGTTTTGGCCCATCATCTCTCTAATCTGTCAAGATCCCTTTGAGTCCTGCTCCTGTCCTCTGGAGTCTTGGCTCTCCCTCCCACTTTGGTGTCGCCTGCAAACTTGATGATCCTGCCTTCTAACCCTTCTCTCTCCATATTTGTGCCTTGCAGCCTTGCTCTCCGCCTTCTCTGGATGGGTTTCCCTCTTGTCCTCTTGCGACCTTCCTCGTTTCCAGAAGGGATGCCTCAGCCCCTCTCAGGTTGCTCTTCTTTCTTGCTCTCTTGCTCTCTTTTCCTTCCTTCTTGCATTCTTTAGCTCTCTTTCCTTTGCAGACTCATTGCATTGCAGTCTGTCTGCCACCAACTTGCAGCTCCTGCCAAAGAAAGGCCCGACAGAAAGGAGGGAGGGCACAACTTCCAGGAAGGAGAAGAGGAAGGGAAGTAAACAGGAGAAAGGCGATGTGGGGCAGGTGGAGGGAACAAGCGCGAAAGCAGCAGCAGCCTTTCTGTAGCCTTGGAAAGCCTTACCAGCAAAGCTCAGGCTCAGGAGGTCTTCTCCCCACATTGGGGGTCTTTTGGAGGATTCTCAGCAGAGTCTGGCAGGCCAGGGGTGCCCTCTGGTAAGCTTCCCAACTGCATGCGGAACAATGGACGCAGAACAATGGCTCCAAACTACAAGAAAGGAGATTCCGAACTTCCTGACGGTGAGAGCCGTTCAGCAGTGGAACTCTCTGCCCCGGAGCGTGGTGGAGGCTCCTTCTTTGGAAGCTTTGAAACAGAGGCTGGCTGGCCATCTGTCAGGGGTGCTTTGAATGCAATATTCTTGCTTCTTGGCAGAATGGGGTTGGACTGGATGATGGCCCAGGAGGTCTCTTCCCACTCTATGATTCTATGCACAGTCTATGTGCATCCTTGCATGCCCAGGCACAAGCATTCATTCTCATGCACTTTGCACATCATGTTCCATGTGCCTGGTCAAGTTGGCGTGCTTCCAGCTTTGACATTGTTTTTACTCTCACTGTCCCTGTGAGAGGCTTGAAGGTGCTGCAGAGATCCTGGCTGCCTTCTTCTGCAAGGGGTTAACCCTCCATTTTCAGGACAGGGTCAGAGAATCATAGAATCCTAGAATCCTAGAGTTGGAAGAGACCTCCTGGGCCTTCATCCAGTCCAACCCCTTTCTGCCAAGAAGCACAAACATTGCGTTCAAAGCACCCCCAACAGATGGCCATCCAGCCTCTGTTTAAAAGCCTCCAAAGAAGAGGCCTCCACCACACTCTGGGGCAGAGAGTTCCACTGCTGAACAGCTTTCACATAGAATCCTAGAGTTGGAAGAGACCTGATGGGCCACCCAGTCCAACCCCATTCTGCCAAGAAGCAGGAATTTTGTATTCAAAGCACCCCTGACAGATGGCCATCCCGCCTCTGTTTCAAAGCTTCCAAAGAAGGAGCCTCCACCACACTCCGGGGCAGAGAGTTCCACTGCTGAATGGTTCTCACAGTCTGAAAGTTCTTCCTCATGTTCAGATGGAATCTCCTCTCTTGTAGTTCATAACAGATTAGATGCCTAGTTGGCCTAAATGAATGAAATACATTTCAGCAAGGACAAATGTAAGATTAGGCAGAAAAAATTAGGCAGAAAAAATTGAAATGCAAAGATAAAGGCTGGGTGATTCCTGGCTTGACAACAAAGTCCCATATGAAAAGGATCTTGGAATCTTCATGTAGAACATGTTGAACATGAGCCAAGAATGGGATGCAGCAACTAAACAAGCCAGTGGAGTTTTGGGCTGCATCCAAAGGAGCCTCGTGTCCAGATCGAAGGAAGAAGTCCCGGTGCCTCTCTCTTCTGCTTTGGTCAAACCTCTTTCCCTGGAGTATCACTGTGTCCCATTCTGGGCCCCACAGCTCCAAAGAGATATTGACTCTAAGCTGGAAGGTGAACAGAGGAAGAGGGAGACTCAAAGGGTCAAAGGCCTGGAGACCATGAATAATTCCCATGAGGAGCATCTCAAAGAACAGGGCCTGTTTCACCTCAAAAGAGAAGGTTGAGAGGAGACATGATGAGAGCCATGTATAAATATGTGAAGGGATGCCACAAGGAAAAGAGAGCAGGCTTGTTTTCTGGTGCCCTGAAAACTAGGACTCAATTGAGTCATGGGTTCAAATTACAGGGAAGGAGATTCCATTGAACATTAGGAAGAACTGTAAGAAGAGCCATTCAGCAGTGGAACTCTCTGCCTGGGAGTGTGGTGGAAGCTTCTTCTTGGGTGGCTTTAAACTGAGGCTGGGTGGCCATCTGTCAGGGATGCTTTGAATGCAATATTCCTGCTTCTTGGCAGAAAGGGGTTGGACTGGATGATGACCCAGGAGGTCTCTTCCAACTCTAGGATTCTAGGATTCTATGATTAGGAAGAACTTTCTGATTGTAAGAAGAGCTGTCCAGCAGTGGAACTCTCTGCCTGGGAGTCTGGTGGAAGCTCCTTCTTGGGTAGATTAAACAGAGGCTGGATGGCCATCTGCCAGGGGTGCTTTGAATGCAACATTCCTGCTTCTTGGCAGAATGGGGTTGGATTGGATGGCCCACCAGGTCTCTTCCAACTCTTTGATTCTAGGATTCTATGATTAGGAAGAACTTTCTGATTGTAAGAAGAGCTGTCCATCAGTGGAACTCTCTGCCCCGGAGGGAGTGTGGTGGAGGCTCCTTCTTGGGTGGCTGTAAACAGAGGCTGGGTGGCCATCTGTCAGGGGTGCTTTGAATGCAATATTCCTGCTTCTTGGCAGAAAGGGGTTGGACTGGATGATGGCCCAGGAGGTCTCTTCCAACTCTAGGATTCTAGGATTCTATGATTAGGAAGAACTTTCTGATTGTAAGAAGAGCTGTCCAGCAGTGGAACTCTCTGCCTGGGAGTCTGGTGGAAGCTCCTTCTTGGGTAGATTAAACAGAGGCTGGATGGCCATCTGCCAGGGGTGCTTTGAATGCAACATTCCTGCTTCTTGGCAGAATGGGGTTGGATTGGATGGCCCACCAGGTCTCTTCCAACTCTTTGATTCTAGGATTCTATGATTAGGAAGAACTTTCTGATTGTAAGAAGAGCTGTTCAGCAGTGGAACTCTCTGCCCCAGGAGTGTGGTGGAGGCTCCTTCTTTGGAAGCTTTTAAACAGAGGCTGGATGGCCATCTGTCAGGGGTGCTTTGGATGCAATATTCCTGCTTCTTGGCAGAATGGGGTTGGACTGGATGGATGGCCCAGGAGGTCTCTTCCAACTCTAGGATTCTAGGATTCTATGATTAGGAAGAACTTTCTGATTGTAAGAAGAGCTGTCCATCAGTGGAACTCTCTGCCTGGGAGTCTGGTGGAAGCTCCTTCTTGGGTGGCTGTAAACAGAGGCTGGGTGGCCATCTGTCAGGGGTGCTTTGAATGCAATATTCCTGCTTCTTGGCAGAATGGGGTTGGACTGGAGGATGGCCCACGAGGTCTCTTCCAACTCTAGGATTCTATGATTAGGAAGAACTTTCTGATTGTAAGAAGAGCCGTTCAGCAGTGGAACTCTCTGCCCCGGAGTGTGGTGGAGGCTCCTTCTTGGGTAGCTTTAAACAGAGGCTGGGTGGCCATCTGTCAGGGGTGCTTTGATTGTGCTTTCCCTGCATGAAGGCAGAAGGGCGTTGGACTAGATGGCCAACTTTATGATTCTGTGAAATGAATTGCCTGGAAAAAGATCTCAGAGCAAAGTGCAAACATGTTCATTGCCAGCTGATAAGGAACGAGAGACATTATGTAATGTTTAAATGAAATGATTCTGATAAAAGCATTCAGACTGCCGATTGGTTGACTTGGACCTTCCCTGTGCTTTGCAGGAGAGTGGACTCACTCCAAGCCTTGGCTGCCTCCAAAGAGAGGGACAGCCTGGCACCTCTGGGATGGAGCCCTTGGGGATGTCCACCGTCCTCCTGCTCACCTGCATCTCCTGCCTCCTGCTCTCTGCCCTCTGGAGAAGTGGGGCACAGCAAAAGGGGAAGATGCCCCCCGGGCCCACCCCGCTGCCCCTCATTGGGAACGCCCTGCAGCTCAAGACCCACCACCTGGACCAGGTGCTCCAGAAGGTCAGTGGAGGAAGGACTTGATTAGAGTCTAGATCTAGTGTCTAGATCTAGGGAAGTCATGCTCCCCATGCTCTATTCTGCCTTGGTTAGACCACACCTGGAATATTGTGTCCAATTCTGGGCACCACAATTCAAGAGAGATATTGACAAGCTGGAATGTGTCCAGAGGAGGGCGACTAAAATGATCAAGGGTCTGGAGAACAAGCCCTATGAGGAGCGGCTTAAGGAGCTGGTCATGTTTAGCCTGAAGAAGAGAAGGCTGAGAGGAGATATGATAGCCATGTATAAATATGTGAGAGGAAGCCACAGGAGGAGGAGGGAGCAAGCTTGTTTTCTGCTTCCCTGGAGACTAGGACGTAAGGGAACAATGGCTTCAAACTACAAGAGAGGAGATTCCATCTGAACATGAGGAAGAACTTCCTGACTGTGAGAGCCGTTCAGCAGTGGAACTCTCTGCCCCGGAGTGTGGTGGAGGCTCCTTCTTTGGAAGCTTTTAAGCAGAGGCTGGATGGCCATCTGTCAGGGGTGATTTGAATGCAACATTCCTGCTTCTTGGCAGGGGGTTGGACTGGATGGCCCATGAGGTCTCTTCCAACTCTTTGATTCTAGGATTCTATGATTCTATGCTGTGTCCAGGTTGATTCATCAAAAATAAAAAAAACTCTAAAATTACAACAGCACAACAACAGAGAGGAAGATTGTTGCACTGTTCGATTTTGTATGCAATGCTGCAAGTTTATTGCCTCTGTTGATAAGAGTCAAGTTTTTCTGTTCCTTTTTCCTCTTTCCTGTGTGTCTTTTGCATGGGACTTGGCTAAAATCTGCTTCTGCGCAACAAAACTTTGGCCCACCAGGTGTTGTGGACTCCAACTCCCACCATTCCTGACAGCCTCAGGCTCCTTCCTTTTTCCCCTCAGCCACTTAAGTGGAAAAGGAAAGGGAAAAGGGAAAGGAAGGGGCCTGAAGCTGCCAGGAAGGGTGGGATTTGAAGTCCAAAACCTCTGGAGGGAGGGCCCAAGTTTGCCCATGCCTGCTTTATGCTCTTTGTTTTGCCAATTCTTGTTTTTGTGGGGTTTTTTTCGGGCTATATGGCCATGTTCTAGAGACATTTCTCCTGACGTTTCGCCTGCATCTATGGCAAGCATCCTCAGAGGTGAGGATGAGGACCTCACTACCTCTGAGGATGCTTGCCATAGATGCAGGCGAAACGTCAAGAGAAATGCCTCTAGAACATGGCCATATAGCCTGAAAAAACCCACAAGAACTGAGTGATTCCAGCCATGAAAGCCTTCGACAATACAATTCTTGTTTTGTTTTGCCAAGTCTTTGTCCACTCCTCCTGAAATATCCCACTCTCCTTGTGTAAGGCACAGGATTGTAGATCTCGTTTGCATTTGTGGAAATGGCACCAAATGTTTTCCAAGTTTGTATTGACATGCAGGTAGAGCAACCCACGCGGAGCTCTCTCTCTCCCCTGTTGCCTTCTTGCAGCATGAGTCCTTCCTTTCCAAATTGGGTGCCCTCTTGTTCATGCGATGATGTGCCTCTGCCTTTGTCTCCTCCCCCAGATGAGCGAGAAGTATGGCCCTGTGTTTACCCTCCATTTCGGGATGGCTCCCGCTGTGGTGCTCTACGGCTACGAGGCCATCAAAGAAGCCTTGCTGGACCGCGGCAATGAATTTGCAGCCCGGGGCAAAGTCCACTTGATGGAGAAAACCTGCAAAGGCAGAGGTATCCGGGGCTGAGTCCTCCATGGCAGGGGGGCGGGCAGGTGGGGCGGCCCCATATCTTGCCACCTCTGCAACATGACTGTGTTTTGGGGGGAGGCAGCAGAGCATTGGGACAGAAGCCTGGGGAAGGAGATACATACGGTAGAAAGATAGTCTAAGCAACATGACTGCATGGAGAGCAGGGAGTGAGAAGGCAACTCAAGACCCACGCAGCCCTATATCCCAGAAAACCATCAAGGCAGGAAATCCCACAATATTAGCTTTGATCTGGGTTATCTGAGTCCACACTGCCATATATTCCAGTTCAAAGCAGATATTGTGGGGTTTCCTGCCTTGATATTCTGGGTTATATGAAGGCCCTCAGTCTACTCATATGGAACAAAGAACAGGACATTTACTCACACAAAGACTGTGTTTTATATTTCAAGAGAAGACCAGTTGTTTCTACTTAATGTGAATGTGGCAGTCCTGGTTTTTTTATATGTGTATGTGTAATATATACATATAATATATATGTGTGTGTGTGTGAAAAAGATCTTGGAGTCCTCGTGGACAACAAGTTAAACATGAGCCAACAATGTGATGTGGCGGCAAAAAAAGCCAATGGGATTTTGGCCTGCATCAATAGGAGCCTAGTGTCTAGATCTAGGGAAGTCCTGCTCCCCATGCTCTATTCCGCTTTGGTTAGACCACACCTGGAATATTGTGTCCAATTCTGGGCACCACAATTCAAGAGAGATATTGACTCTAAGCTGGAATGTGTCCAGAGGATGGCAACTAAAATGATCAAGGGTCTGGAGAACAAGCCCTATGAGGAGCGGCTTAAGGAGCTGGGCATGTTTAGCCTGAAGAAGAGAAGGCTGAGAGGAGATATGATAGCCATGTATAAATATGTGAGAGGAAGCCACAGGGAGGAGGGAGCAAGCTTGTTTTCTGCTTCCTTGGAGACTAGGACGCAATGGAACAATGGCTTCAAACTACAAGAGAGGAGATTCCATCTGAACGTGAGGAAGAACTTCCTGACTGTGAGAGCCGTTCAGCAGTGGAACTCTCTGCCCCGGAGGGAGTGTGGTGGAGGCTCCTTCTTTGGAAGCTTTTAATCAGAGGCTGGATGGCCATCTGTCAGGGGTGATTTGAATGCAATATTCCTGCTTCTTGGCAGGAATACGGGGTTGGAGTGGATGATGGCCCAGGAGGTCCCTTCCAGTTCTTTGATTCTATGATTCTATGATTCTATGAAAGCAGATATTGTGGGGTTTCCTGCCTTGATATTCTGGGTTATATGAAGGCCCTCAGTCTACTCATATGGAACAAAGAACAGGACATTTACTCACATGAAGACTGTGTTTTATATTTCAAGAGAAGACCAGTTGTTTCTACTCAATGTGAATGTGGCAGTCCTGGTTTTTTAAAATATGTGTATGTGTAATATATACATATAATATATATATATGTGTGTATATCTATATATATAAAATCCAAAAGGGCGTCCTTAGGGACCGCAAAACGCGAAAACCCCCGGATGAAAACTCACCAAACTTGCCGTACACATACCTCAAACCACAAGGTATGCACAACACTCATCACAATTCAAAACAACATTACAACAAACTCACAATCACAGAAACAAGCAGAGCATGCGCAGAGGCGTCCCGGTGAAGGCCGCCCGGCGCGCGCACATGGCCGGACCATGCCCCCTCCATGGAAGCCACACCCCTCCCTTTGCCGCCCCGCCCCTACCCACCCATACGCCATCCTTCCCTCCTCCCTCCTCCTTCCCCTGCCCACGCCCCCTCCAAGACAGCCACGCCCCCACCCTCTGCCACCCCGCCCCTTCCCGCACTGACGCCATCCTTCCCTCCTCTCCCTCCTCCTCCTCCCCTGCCCACGCCCCCTCCGAGACAGCCACGCCCCCACCTTCCGCCGCCCCACCCCTACCTGCCCATACGCCATCCTTCCCTCCTCTCCCTCCTCCTCCTCCCCTGCCCACACCCCCCTCCCTTCGCTGCCCCGCCCCTTCCCGCACTGAAGCAATCCTTCCCTCCTGCCCCTCCTCCTCCGCCGGTCACGCCCCTTCAGAGCGAAGGAAGGAAGGAAAAAGAAAGAGAGGGAAGAAAGGAGACAAAGAGGAAGGAAAAGAAAAAGGGAGAAGGAAATACGTACAGAAGGAAGGAGGAGAGAAGGAAAGAAAAGAGGGAAGGGAGGAAAGACGCAGCAAAGGAAAAAGAGAAAGAAGGAGAGAAAGATGCAGGGAAGGAAAGAAATAAGGAGAAGGAAGGATGAAAGCAAACAGCTAAGGAAGGAAGTAAACAGGTAGAGAAGGAAGAAAGGAAAGAAGAAAATGGAATGAAGGAAGGAGTGAAAGAAGCAGAGAAAGAGGGAGAGAAGGCTGGCCACAGCAACGCGTGGCGGGTAAAGCTAGTAATATATATATGTGTATGTGTAATATATACCAAGGGCAAGATGGATGGATGGCATCCTTGAAGTGACTGGACTGACCTTGAAGGAGCTGGGGGTGGTGACGGCCAACAGGGAGCTCTAGCGTGGGCTGGTCTATGAGGTCACGAAGAGTCGGAGACGACTGAACGAATGAACAACAACAATATATACATTTAGTTATATGGAAGGCCCTCAGTTTTATTGTTGTTGTATTCTCCCAATGCCAGGGCACTTTCATTGAGCATCATGTGCCACAAGGCAACTCCCCATTGAAATGCCCACATGTCTTTTAACACACCATACTTCATATGTACACCTTTGTATGACTTTCACATGCATTCCCATTGAGATTGGAGTCAATGTCCTTCCAGATCCTAACCAAACATGGCTTTTTATTGAAGTCCTCGTGGGCCTAATTGTGTTTATGGGATGTGCTATGGTTGACAACACCCTCAAGTTTTAAAACTAGTTTTATCTGGTCTGATTATAGAATCACAGAATGGATTTCCCTGTGAGTGTTGTTCAGGCCTCCTGAGAGAATATTCTTTTGGGCCTTGTTGAGTTTATCCACATTGATATTACAGAGCTAGCTCAGGGTAAAGGGCAGAGTAGTCAACTAGGGTAGGAAGAACCTGGGCAACTCACAGTTCTTGGGCAACAAACAATATCTCAGCCATACAGGAAGGGTTTGGGCTCCTCCAGACCAAAGTAATAAGAACACTTTCCAACTCCCTCAATCATAACAGCGTCCTGAATGACTTTCTGAGCCAAAGAAGGGAAGACAATGGGAAACCTTTTAGGAATGGTTGTACTGGTTTGGGCATTGAATCCTAGAATCCTAGAGTTGTAAGAGACCTCCTGGGCCATCCAGTCCAACCCAATTCTGCCAAGAAGCAGGAATATTGCATTCAAATCACCCCTGACAGATGGCCATCCAGCCTCTGTTTAAAAACCTCCAAAGAAGGAGCCTCCACCACAGAGTTCCACTGCTGAACGGCTCTCACAGTCAGAAAGTTCTTCCTCATGTTCAGATGGAATCTCTTCTCTTGTAATTTTGAAGCCATGGTTCCATTGCGTCCTAGTCTCCAGGGAAGCAGAAAGGAAGCTTGCTCCCTCCTCCTCCCTGTGGCTTCCTCTCACATATTTATACATGGCTATCACGTCTCCTCTCAGCCTTCTCTTCTTCAGGCTAAACGTGCCCAGCTCCTTAAGCCGCTCCTCATAGGGCTTGTTCTCCAGACCCTTGATCATTTTAGTTGCCCTCCTCTGGACACATGGTTCCTAGCAGCATATACACAACCTTAATGTAACAGCTGTAATGGGCCTGGTCATCCAAAATCTGTGAATCTCCCTAAGGGAAGTGTATATTTGCATGCTAACTAAATGCTTCTTCTCCCCTATATCAACAAACTGGGATTCCAGTACTTAAGGGTGTTTCAGTGGGATGTGGACTGGGTGCCTATTTGGACTTGACCATGGTTTATCAGTTGGGACTCCAGGTGACCAGAAAGAGAGAAAAGGGTCTACTAAACACAGAGAAATTAGCTGAAAGGTATCAGAGTCCCTCAGACCACCAGACTAAAGAGATAGCAATGGGGATGCTGGCTTCTTTGGCCATTCTTTCTCACCTCGGCCCAGCCTGCTCTTCCATTGCAGCCTCTTGTCTTTCCTCTCTCCAGGGATCATATTCAGCAATGGAGAGAGATGGAAGCAGCTCCGGCGCTTTGCCTTGACCACCCTCCGCAACTTTGGGATGGGGAAGAAGAGCATCGAGGAGAGGATCCATGATGAAGCCCAGTATCTCCTGGAGCAATTCCGCAACACAAAGCGTAAGCAGATTCCTTGTCTGTCCTGACCCGTTCCCCTCCCCCTCCCCATGGGACTTCCCAGGAGATTCCTTCTGCCATGTCTTGTATGCATCTTAGTTTTAGGATCCTTCTATTTGCAGGGTTTCCCATGCATGAAGGTTAGCGTTGTTTCTTCCAGTCAGGTGGCCCATACATAGTCCTTGAGTTTCACAACTGGAGGTTGAAGATTCTGTGCCTTGGTCTTTTCTGGGAAACTTTGGGCTTCAGATATTCCAACTCAGATATTCAGATCTTTAAAGGGTTGCAGGGGACTGGGCAACGATGGTTTTCCTATACCACTTTCCACAAGTGGAAACCATCACCTAGAAGTTCATTCTCAACAAAAGTGGTTTCCGCCATTGAAGGCTCTTAGATTTCACATGTCAGAATGTGGACTTCAAAGACCAAGGGTAGGATGTCCCTCCTGTTTTGGATGGCAGAGAAAGGGGAAGAAAGGACCATGCAGTTTCCAAGACTCAGGTGGAGCAGGAGAGGTTCTCCTTTGAGTGCCATGAACCCAGAGGTTGTGCTCAGCAGAGGTCAGCCATGGACTCAGAGAAGCAGCAATGCCACATCTCCCACAGTCTACACAGGACCAGAATTAGAACTGGGAAAGGCCGCAAGGGAAATCTAGACCAGCCTCCCTTGAGTGCAAGAGTTCTCATGGAAGGTCTGAGGTCACCAAGAACTTGAAACTGTGTCGCCTGAAAGAAAGCCCCCATTGCTGCCCAACCCAAAGAAGCGGAGTGAGAGTTTCCAGAGCGAATCGCACAGATCTCTTCTGGCTCAAGAGCTGGACTCAGGTGAGAAGACGAATTTCCTTTTTGTCTTTCCAGAGCAGCCCTTTGACCCTCACTACCTGTTCAGCTGTGCCACCTCCAATGTCATCTGCTCCATCGTCTTTGGAAAGCGCTTCGATTACAAGGACGAGAAGTTTCAAGCCATGATGAACTTAATGAATGAGAACTTTGAGCTTTTTAACTCTTCTTGGGCTCAGGTAGGCCCTTGTTCCTTGAGACCTATTGCATGATGAATGTATTTAGTTTGCATGTTTGGTGCTTCTGCATGAGCATGCAACTGATTTTGTGCTTCTGTTTATGTACATATGACTGATTTGGGAGTGCGAAGGGTGAGCAGTTCCCTGTCCTCTGGCACTTAGCAACTAGGCCTGGTTGATCAAGAAAAAATTTGGTTCTAAAATCAATTTGTAATTGGGGTGTTTTTTTGTTTCGATATTTAAAATAATTACAAAATTTTCCCAAAAAAAAGTTTCGGTATTTACGAAATTTCGTAAATATTTACAAAACATTTTGTAAAGATGGCGGACCCCTGCGCATGCGCAGAATCACTTCCGAAGCTTCGTTATTGGTGCGGGGTCGATCCGTTAAGGGTATAACGAATTGATTCGTTAAAATTCTTTTTAGTAGAAGGATGCCTGGTTCTTGTGCCTCTGCAACCACTCAGCGGAAGTGAGGTATAGAGAGTGGGATGGCAACAACCTCCCATCCTGGCCTGGAAGAGAGACCCCATGAAATCAACAGCTTTCTTCTCCTATCCCCTTTGCTTCCATTGTTGGATCTCAGACCAAGTTAGTGTCCCTCCTATGATTGATGGAAACACAGTAATGAGCAGCCAGTTCTGATAGTGGCAGCAGGGTTGGCAGTTGCCTGCTTCTGCTCTTGAGGCAGTGGGTGTGATGCTACTACTCATTCATTCAACTGGAGAGAAATGCTGTGAAATGGCAGGAGGCATGAATTCTCACCATTTCACTAATTCTTGCATGTATCTCCAGTTGTATCCAGTCCTAACCTCACAAATACTCATCTCAGGCGGGCCACGGAGGCAGAGCCGGTGCTGCAGGAATCCCCTCCCCGGCTCCTGCGCTCCGGCTCCTGCGCCCTCCTCCTCCTCCTCCTCCTCCTCCTGGCACTTCCTGCAACACAGCTGGGAGAGAGAGGCGCCTTAAAGAGACAACCGGCCTCCGCGCTCCGGCCAATCGGGAGCCGTGCTCGCGCCCAACAGGCAGGAACAAGGCTTGGCTCCCTAAGGGCGAGCGCGCGCGGGCCGGCCAATCGGGAGCCGTGCTCGTGCCCAACAGGCAGGGGCAGGGCTTGGCTCACTGGGTGCGCGCTCGCGCCGCCCCTTCGCCCCGCCCGCCCCATTTACGAAACGGGCGAAAGCTCGTTAAAACTGTGGGGGTTGCCGTTTCGATATTTAAAAACCCTTCCGGGTTTGAAAATATGGTTTGTTATCTTTTCGTAAATGCAAAAATTAACGAATGTTTAACGAATTACGAAATTAACGAACGAAACCGCACAGGCCTATTAGCAACTATATGCTGCCAGTTGAGGAAAAATATGACAAGGAGATGCAATGAATTTTGAGGGAAAGTACCTTTACAGGATTATAAGGAAGCATCAACAGGTGGGCTAAATGCAGCAACTTGTGGTGGAAAGAATGGCTCCTATCACATCGAGACATTTCCCCTTCATAGGAGACATTAGCCTCTTTTCCAGCATGGAGAGGCACGGAACTCATCACATGTTCCAGGGTTGAAAAGAGGCAGAAATGTCCTGAAAGGAGGGAACTCTGTATTGATTTATGGTTAACAAGGTGATAAAACTGCTCCGACACACAGTCGTAAAACAATAAACCAATTCACTTTTATTTGCAGACTATATACATAGCAGAGTTGCATGGCGATCTGCTCATAGCAAAAGACAACCTCAGTAATGGCTCCTAGCCTTCTTCTTCATACTCAGTAGAACATGCCTACTTCACATTCAATACAAGGCATTATATGTCACACACAGGAGACAGAAACTAATACACTTAACACTATGCAGATGCGGGGTAGATGCAGGGAATGCCATGGATGTAGTGTACCTGGATTTCAGGAAGGCCTTCTTTGACAAGGTCCCCCATGACCTTCTGGCAAGGAAACTAGTCCAATGTGGGCGAGGCAAAACTACGGTGAGGTGGATCTGGAATTGGTTAAGCGGACGAACACAGAGGGTGATTCTCCCCAAGGCTTCCTCCTCTTCACCCTGGAAAGAAGTGACGAGCGGAGGGCCATCCGCAGGGTTCCCCCCTGGGCCCAGTCCTGATCAGGATCTTTATTAATGACTTAGAAGAAGGGTTAGAAGGCATGATCATCAAGTTTGCAGACGACACCAAATGGGCAGGGGGAGCCAAGACTCCAGAGGACAGGAGCAGAATTCAAAGGGATCTTGACAGATTAGAGCAGGGGTAGGGAACCTTTGGCCCTCCAGCTGTGGTGGACTTCAACTCCCACAATTCCTTGAGGCTCGGCATTGGGCCAAGGTAAGCCTTTGGGGCGAATGCCGAGCCTCAAGGAATTGTGGGAGTTGAAGTCCACCACAGCTGGAGGGCCAAAGGTTCCCTACCCCTGGATTAGAGAGATGATGGGCCAAAACTAACAAAATGAAGTTCAACAGGGACAAATGCAAGAGACTCCACTTTGGCAGGAAAAACAAAATGCAAAGATACAGAATGGGGGACAATGAGGCCTGACTCGAGAGCAGTACGTGTGAAAAAGATCTTGGAGTCCTTGTGGACAGCAAGTTAAACATAAGCCAACAATGTGATGTGGTGGTAAAAAAAGCCAATGGGATTTTGGCCTGCATCAATAGGAGCCTAGTCTCTAGATCTAAGGAAGTAATGCTCCCCATGCTCTATTCTGCTTTGGTTAGACGACACCTGGAAAATTATGTCCAATTCTGGGCACCACAATTCAAGAGAGATATTGACTCTAAGCTGGAATGTGTCCAGAGGAGGATGACTAAAAGGATCAAGGGTCTGGAGAACAAGCCCTATGAGGAGCGGCTTAAGGAGCTGCTGAAGAAGAGAAGGCTGAGAGGAGATATGAGGAGCGGCTTAAGGAGCTGGGCATGCTTAGCCTGAAGAAGGCTGAGAGGAGACATGATGAGGGCCATGTATAGATATGTGAGAGGAAGCCACAGGGAGGAGGAGGGAGCAAGCTTGTTTACTGTTTCCCTGGAGACTAGGACGCAATGGGACAATGGCTTCAAACTACAAGAGAAGAGATTCCATCTGAACATAAGGAAGAACTTCCTGACTATAAGAGCCGTTCAGCAGTGGAACTCTCTGCCCCGGAGTATGGTGGAGGCTCCTTCTTTGGAAGCTTTTAAGCAGAGGCTGGATGGCCATCTGTCAGGGGTGATTTGAATGCAATATTCCTGCTTCTTGGCAGAATGGGGTTGGACTGGATGGCCCAGGAGGTCTCTTCCAACTCTTGGATTCTATGATTCTATGATTCTATGTCTGCTGAACATTACTTCATACACATGCTTACAGCATTAAATCACATTTTGGAAATCTACTACATAACCCAAAATACAGAAACTAACACTCGGAACGTGAGCCAGCCATCCTGTCCAGAGCTCCTGTATCTTATACTTTACTCCCATGGTTCCAACTGAAAAACAAGTGGGATGGGAACCATTAAAAGTTTCCCTTCCTGTTTCATGGCCCAACCATCAGCAGTCTTTTGATGCAGATTGCAGAATAAGAGGATACCATGGAAAGCAATGGTTTTAACCTGGATTTCTGTCTGTCCTATCCTGTGGGGAACCATAGGATCCCATGGAATAAAATGGTTTTAAACTCACACTCTGGCACTTTAGTTGCAAAATTGATGACAACTAGTTTTAACTACAGATGGTCTGCATTTTTACAATTGTATTATTTTATTTTTACAAGTGTTGATAGTGGTTGTTTATATATATATATATATATATATATATATATATATATGTTTATGTGATATTGTTTTACACTCGTGTACGGTTTTTGTTATGCTGCACTTGGAGTGCCTTGTAAACCACCTGAGTCCCTTTCGGGAGATGGTAGCAGGATATTATTATTCTTATTCTTCTTATTATTATTATTTAAAACACAGCAAACAAGGTCACTCTGCTGGCTGTTGTATTGGATCACATGTCAGACACTTCCCATGTGTCTAGGACTGTGAGATGTATTGGCGAATAATACATGCAGATCCCAGTAAGGTGGCCTTCTGCAGCTGGCAGATGGTAATTTTGTCAGCGCCAATTGTGTTTAAGTGCAAGCCAAGGTCTTTAGGTACTGCACCCAGTGTGCCGATCACCACGGGGACCCCCTTGACTGGCTTGTGCCAGAGTCTTTGCAGTTCGATCTTTAAATCCTCATATCGTGTCAGCTTTTCCAGTTGTTTCTCTGCAATCCTGCTGTCACCTGGGATTGCAACATCGACAATCCATACTTTGTTTTTTTAACACGATTGTGAGGTCAGGAGTCTTGTGCCCGTACAAATCTGCCACTCTCCATATGTACACTATCTCTGTCCTTGCCATGGACCAGAGCATGGTGGGTGGAACAGGCTCCTGCGTTCTGCCACACTTGAGAATTATTAGATTGAGTCTTTTATAGGAATATTCTGCTGATGTTGTAAAGAATTGTCCCGTCTTGAGTCTTCACCTCCTGGCAGATGTTGATTCTTCTTGATTGGTGTTAGCCTTGTATTGACTTCCTTCTTAACATTGTAAACATTTCTGTTATCATTGTCACAGTTTACTTTTTCAGTTGTCATTAGCAACTTTTAATTACAGTCCAGCAAGCAGGTAGTTAGTAATTGCAGGCCTTAATAATATACTGGTGTTTCCAAAATTATTAACTCCCAATCATTCATTTCTTCCATTCGGTTCATTCATACTCAGGCATAGATTAAATCCATAGTTATCAAATCTGCAATGATATTTTGTGACACTTGTATCCTCTGGGGTTTCATGCAGAACCATAGGATCCCATGGAAAGAAATGGTTTTAAACTGGTGCGAGTCTCCTTGAATGTAAGGAGCTTTGGGCAGGGCAAGGGATCACGTGGCTTTCAGATATGGTTATTTCTCCTGATTAAGAACAGAAAAGTAATACTGACCTTGTGATGAATGTAAGAGGAATGTATTCCCAGCTCTTAGGTTTCCACGTGTGAGTGTGATGGGGAGGCAGAAGGCAAAATGGGACTGCAGACAATATAAAGAGGGATGATTTTCTACTCTCCAAGGGATGGTCACCCATGCTTTCCCCTCTCGATGTGATGAGGTAGTCAGACTAGATGGCCCTTCCAACTCTATGATTCTAACACAGGGCAGAAGCATGACAATACCTGGCGGGGCCTAAGTGTGGTGTCCTGAGAGGCTTCCCTGTCCCTTTTGCACCCCGTTGGCCTTTGGGGATCGGAGTGATTTCCTGCTGCACTGAACGAGGAGCTTGCTTCTTTCCCAAGGATCCACGAAAGCAAAAGAACACAACCACTTGTCTGACAAGGGACCTCTCTCTGTTGCCTTTGGTCTTCCAGCTCGCCAACACCTTCCCTACCCTGATGGATTGGATCCCTGGGCCTCACCACCGCTTAGTGTCTGGCAGCCTTCGATCCGAGGAGTTTGTTTTGGAGGAAGCCAAGGAACACAGGGCAACTCTGGACCCCAGCTCCCCACGGGACTTCATCGACTGCTTCTACATCAAAATGGATCAGGTAAGGGGGGTCTCATGGAAGCCGTTGGGTGGGAGCAGACTGTTGAGGATCAGTGTGTTGCTCTCTAGTCAGGAAAAAGCCCTCTGACTTTAAAACACACACCACACGAAGAGTGAAGAAACAAACCTTCTTTTATTGAAGCTTAGTAAATAGCCAGAAGAAATAAATGCTTGTAAGAAAATAAGGAAGTTCCAAAAAGTATAAAGTCCATAAAAAGTAGAAACACAAAGCAATGTCCACACCAGATATAAAAGCAATCCAAAACAGCATTAATCCAGACAGGAATCAACAGGATGCAAAGACAATCCAGAAGGCTAAACAGGATTTCCATGGGACATGGACTTTATTTCCCAAATGATGCCTGATCTAACAGGTTTCCCCTTGAGGTAAACTTTATATCCCAAAACTCAGAAATTGGTTTGGCTTTCCCCCACATTTCCCCCATATCAGCCAAAGCCTTTCAAAGCGGCGTATTTATTTACTTTATTTGTATACCGCTCTTCTCAGCTGTCGACCCTGGCTGATCTCCAGCCGCCTATTCTTCAGCTCCCTATTTATTTATTTATTATTATTTATTTACTCCTTTTGTATACCGCCTATATCAGCCAACAAGGCGACTCTAAGCGGTTTACAGTAAAAAGTGCAACATAGAACAATGCATGTGACAGACATCCACAAACAATACACATAACGTCATCACGCCTCGAATGAAATCAGATCCAAATCTCATAGTCATTTTACCATTCCTTGATCAGTATGCCATCTTTCTGAGTCAGATGTTAATTGCATGCTTATCCGAACGCCTGTTCGAAGAGCCACGTCTTCACCCGCCTTCTAAACGCCAGTAGCGACGGGGCCTGTCTGATCTCCGTTGGTAGGGCATTCCATAGCCGAGGGGCCACCACCGAGAAGGCCCTGTCTCCCGTCCCCGCCAGCCGCACTTGTGATGCTGGCGGGACTGAGAGCAGGGCCTCCCCGGACGATCTTAGTGTCCTCGCCGGTTCATAGGCGGAGATGCGTTCGGAGAGGTAAGTGGGGCCGGAACCGTATTAGGCTGCTCATTAAAATTCCCAGGTGTCAGATTGTTTTCCAAACCCAAATCTTGAGAGCTCACAGAGAGAGGGAGTGAACCTTCATTGCTAGGCCCAGCAGGGATATTCTCATGAGAAACTGCCCTTTGCACTGGGGCCTCTCTGTCATTGTCTGCCTGAAAATCATTCACCAAACCACCTCCATCTTGTGCCTCAGCCTCAGCACCATCATTTCCCTCATCATTTCCCACATAGAATCATAGAATCATAGAATCAAAGAGTTGGAAGAGACCTCATGGGCCATCCAGTCCAACCCCCTGCCAAGAAGCAGGAATATTGCATTCAAATCACCCCTGACAGATGGCCATCCAGCCTCTGCTTAAAAGCTTCCAAAGAAGGAGCCTTCACCACACTCCGGGGCAGAGAGTTCCATCAGGATCCTGAAACACAAACACAGGTTGATTCCCAACACAGTGCCCCAAAAAGCCCTAGTATCTATTTCCAAGAAGACACTAGAGAAGTGGAGATTTAAAATACAATAGTTTAATCTGCAGAATTAAACTATTGGGCGCAAGAGAAAGAGCACAACATTAGACTGATCTGCATCATAGGTTTCATAGAATCATGTCATGAATGACTTTTCAATAACTTTGAAGCATAGGTTCTTTTTATTGCAATTTCCAGTGTGAGAGGGGACATCAGATTACAGGAAAACATTTAGACAAAGAATGACATTGGACATACAGACAGATTCTATGCAACTATATTGGATTCACAATTACATAGATGTGGGAACCATGGGGTGCCGGTTTGTTAGCTGCCCCGAGTCCCTCTGCAGAGGTTGAGATAGGACAGGATACAAATGTCCGAAAATAAATAAATAAATAAATAACGGCTAACAAACCAACAAAGGGGAGTTACATTTTCACTCAACAGTCACACACATGTACACGCATTCATCTTCAGGCATTCAAATATTGCCATATCCTTTTCTCCCTCCTTGGAGAAGCACCTCTTAGGCCAGACCCTGCTTTCCTGCAGCCTTTCCAATGCATAGTTCCAAAACTTCCATAACTTCAAAACACCAAAATGCATCCTTTCCCTAAGCACAATGCCAAGGACCAGATCTCTGTTTTCCACACAGCAGAACCTGACTCCCTGCACAAAATCTAAGACTCCAAAAGCGCACTTCTTCCTCTTCCCTTGAGAAAGAAGCCCCAAAGGGACCAGGCTGCTCCCATGCAAATCTGGCACTCTCCAAATATACCATCTCTCTCCTTCCCATGGAGCAGAGCATAGCGGGTGAACCAGACTCCTCAGGTCTGCCACACTTTGAGCATTATTAGACCGAGTCTTTTATAGGAATATTCTCTTGATGTAGTCCCAAAGTTGTAAATTAATGATAGACGTCTTCCATCCTGGCTCCATCTCAGCTTCCTGGCCAGATGTTGATTCTTCTTGATTGGTGTTGACAAACACAAGGCTTGTGTTGACTTCCTTCTTAACATAAGGAAGGTTACAAACATTTCTCTTAACTTGAAAGATCCATTGTCACAATTCTTATCAGAGTTTACTTTTCAGTTCTCATTAGTAACTTTTTATCACAGTCCAGAAAGCAGTCATTGCAGGCCTTAATATTTTACTGATGCTTCCAAAAGTATTAACTCATCCATACATCCTTCCATTCATTCCCACACATCATATTAAATCCACATTTATCAAATCTTCAGTGATATTTTTGTGACAATCATAGAGTTGGAAGAGACCTCATGGGCCATCCAGTCCAACTCCCTGACCAGAGTACACACAAACCAAACCTTTCGCTCTTTCCTCCACTTTTCCTTCCCAGTTCTATCCTTCAATTCAGTGTTTTTATCTTCCAAAGCAATTCTCCTGCCCTCCCCACTCCCATCTCTTCCTGGTCATTCTGATCTTTCTTCCCCCTTCACACACTTTTGCTATCTTTTCCACCTCCTTCGCTCTTTTCTCTCCCTCCTCCCTTTTCTTTAACCCACTCTCAAAACATTTTCCTTATACAACCCACACTTGTGAAATCTCAGCCTCTTCAAGACCCTTGCATGGGAGCCGTCCTCAGCCACCAAACAGCAGTGGAGGTTGGTGACTCCTGGGGCATCTGCTCTAGGGTTCAGTTGGCATTTCCTATAGAGCACTCTGACGGGGTCATTGTCAGGATTAATTTAGTTATATATGTGTTTTAAATGTGCTTCTATGTATTGCCAAGATGGATGCTCCCGTGAATTAGAAATGCTGTGCAGAATGTTTACACCATGAGGCTGTGATTAAGTAAACTTGAGAAAAGTAAGATAAGGTTTGCTCTTGCTGGGAACAGAAGGGAGTAGGCAGTCTCAGCAAGAGACATAAGCAGATGTGAAGAGGCTTTCGTTTTATTTATTTATTTATTTATTTACTGCACTTGTAGACCGCCGTTCTCAGCCCTAGGGCGACTAGTTCCTGATTGCAGCTCGCTGTAGTAAGACGTGTCTGATGTATGTGCTTAGTAAACTTAGTTTCTTTTGTAACTCAAAGCCTGCAGAGTCCTTATTTTGTAACTCAGTGTCTGCTGATGTAGCATTCCTTCCGCTGGACATCGTCTGATCTCTGACAGTCATGTGTATCACCAGGAGAAGCACAACGAGGCCTCCGAGTTCACCATGGAGAACCTGATCTTCTGCAGCCTGGACTTGTTTGGCGCAGGAACCGAAACGACCAGCACTACACTCCGATATGGGCTCTTGATCCTCCAGAAATACCCAGAGATTGAAGGTAAAAGAGATGGCCACACTCCAGGCGAGCTGCTTCCACCAGATTCTTGGCTCTCAGCTTCTGCAGGTTGAATGTGACCAGTTCTGATCACAAATAATTGAATTTGGCCTGAAAATAGGGCCTGGAGGTGGCTAATTCTGAACTGCTCCATTCGTTTTCACATCTTTGGGGGCATTAGGAGGAAGGTGTTTATGGGCTAATGCTGCTCATGGCCATTTGGGAGTATTTTTGGCTAAACAGTTCAACTCTTTGGGGAGAATCCGGGGGTTTGCAAGGGAGGCAGGTGGGGCATCAGTGGCATCAAGGAGAATGAAGGCCTTCTCCACATCGTGGACAGTTTTCCGTTACAGAGATGGCTCAGTTACACATCCCCCCAAAAGTGACAGATCCAATATTGATGGAATAATTGAATTCTATGGCATTACTGAAGGGCTAACTATCTTCCCCTGTTATTCAGAGAAAGGGCTTGTGTGGGTTTCCTAGGAGATCAATTCACACTAATCTGGCGTCCAAACTTCCCAAAGTATTTCTTGCTCTCTTGCCGTGAGTCAGAATTTGCATGATTTCTGAGATGTTTCCTGGATGTTTCTTTCTTGACATTGAGTCTCTTGCGTCTCCTGGCAGAGAAAGTGCAGGAGGAGATTGACCGGGTGGTTGGCCGCTCCCGGTTGCCCGGCATGGCTGACCGTGGACAGATGCCTTATACAGACGCCGTCCTCCACGAGATCCAGAGGTTCGTCTCTCTCGTCCCAGTTGGCGTCCCCCATGCCGTGGACAAAGACACACCGTTCAGAGGATATGTCATCCCTAAAGTGAGTTCTTTGCTTCTCCTTCAGGCGTTATTGTCTCCCAAACAGAGCCAGGATACAGGAATGGATCCCCAAAGTGCATTGCTGGGTTTGACACCAATGTTCAGATGGAGATTCCACCTGAACATTAGGAAGAACTTTCTGACTGACTGTCAGGAGTGTTTTGAATGCAATTTTCCTGCTTCTTGACAAAATGGGGTTGGACTGGATGGCCCATGAGGTCCCTTCCAACTCTACGATTCTATGATTCTTTGATTCTATGATTCTAATTCGGAATGAAATCCTCTGCAAATTCCAGCTGAATTAAGTTCAGAGCCAATTTTATCTGTTCAGATCGCTACTCTGTAACTGCTCAAATCCGTGCACGTGTATCTAGACCAGTGGTTCTCAACCTGGGATCCCCAGATGTTTTTGGCCTTCAAGTCCCAGAAATCCTAACAGCTGGTAAACTGGCTGGGATTTCTGGGAGTTGTAGGCCAAAAACATCTGGGGACCCCAGGTTGAGAACCACTGATCTAGACCAAAGGCTAGGCCACTGTCTGATGTCAAAAACCCATCCAACCACATCTAGACTAAAGTCTAGATATTTCCATCATTATCTCACCATATCCTTCACTTTCCACAGGGCACCATAATAGTTCCTGTTCTGACCTCGGTGCTGCATGACAGCAAGGAATTCCCCAACCCCACAGAATTTGACCCAGGGCACTTCTTGAATAAGGATGGGACCTTCAGGAAGAGCGACTACTTTGTGCCCTTTTCGACAGGTAAGGCCCTCCCTTTTCCCACTTTGAGTAGAAACACGGGGTTGAGTGGCTCCTTTTGGTTTCCTGGGTCATCCATTGCTGCAGAAACAGGAGTGTGGCCTTCCCAACTGTGGCCCCCATTGGACCATCACAGGGCTGTGAGGTGTGGAATGTTTCAGGCTGGAGAGAGCTGATTGGCTCTTTCCATCCTCACTTGGAGCCATTGACCATGATGCCATGCTCCCATGATGACCAAGCTGGACTTTTTTACACTCAATGATGGAAGGACTCTTGCAAGTTCTCTTCTGCTGTCCCATAAGAGTTGTTGTGATCTGTTTATTTGCAACCATAGACTCATTGAATCTTATCACTGGCAGGGGCAAAAGGGAATGCACAAACATGGCACTCTATTTAGAGATCTCCAGGGAAAGAAGATCCACATGTAGGCGACATCATTATTGGCCCACTCTTGTCCTCTTTTGAGGACAAGAGGATGGAATCTTTGTAGATTTCATCAAATAGTTCACATCTTAGTCTCTGGATCAGCAGCAAAGACACTTGCTCCATCCTGTCCATTCTCTTCTTTCACATACTTGAGGTTGGCTCTATCACGTCACCTCTCATCTTTCTCTTCTCCAAGCTAAACATGGCTAGATCTCTTAGGTTGCTCCTCAGAAGGCTTGGTTTCCAGACCTTTGACCATATTGAGTGCCCTTCTTTAGATAGGTCCAACCTGCCAATATTCTGTGATATCCTGAACTAGACACAGGATGCTAGGAGAACGGGCCTGACCAAAGAAGAACAGAATGTGACTTCTGATCCCCTTTCTCTGTAGACTGCATTCTGTTGAGGGCATCCTATGGCTCCCTTTGTGACCCCTTCTCCATGTCTTCTTGGTCTCCTTGCAGGCAAACGGATCTGCGCTGGGGAAGGCCTGGCCCGCATGGAGCTCTTCCTGTTCCTCACCTCCATCCTCCAGAACTTCAAGTTGAAGTCCCTCACGGACCCCAAGGACATCGACATCATGCCTCGGCTGAGTAGCTTGAGCAACGTCCCTCAGCCCTACAAGTTCTGTCTTGTCCCTCGCTGAAAAGATCACCGATGGAAGACAAAGCAAGCAATTGCCAGAGGGTCTCAGCTTGGGCTGACCTTTGGTGTTGAGAAAATTATGCTGGAGCTCCTTGAAAGCCTTTCCAGCCTCAATTGAAAGCATGATTTTGTATTAAAGCTATGGGGGTCACACTGGAGTCCTCCAAATCTATACAGGTGGATGGATTTAACTCACTCAATGGTTTAATATTCATTTAATCTACTTAACGTATTCTCTATTTTTAATTATTTTCAACTGATTTTTTGGTATACCAGTCTGAGGTCCCAATGATGTAGGAAAGGGGAGAAATATGTTAATACCTAACATTAAATAAGTCTATTGAAGTGCTACTACTACTATTCTGCTTTGGTGAGACCACACCTGGAATATTGTGTCCAATTCTGGGCACCACAATTCAAGAGAGATATTGACAAGCTGGAATGTGTCCAGAGAAAGAGGGCGACTCAAATGATAAAGGGTCTGGAGAACAAGCCCTATGAGGAGCGGCTTAAGGAGCTGGGCATGTTTAGCCTGAAGAAGAGAAGGCTGAGAGATATGATAGCCATGTATAAATATGTGAGAGGAAGTCACAGGGAGGAGGAGGGAGCAAGCTTGTTTTCTGCTTCCCTGGAGACTAGGACGCAATGGAACAATGTTTTCAAACTACAAGAGAGGAGATTCCATCTGAACATGAGGAAGAACTTCCTGACTGTGAGAGCCGTTCAGCAGTGGAACTCTCTGCCCCGGAGTGTGGTGGAGGCTCCTTCTTTGGAAGCTTTTAAACAGAGGCTGGATGGCCATCTGTCAGGGGTGATTTGAATGCAATATTCCTGCTTCTTGGCAGAAGGGGTTGGACTGGATGATGGCCCAGGAGGTCTCTTCCAACTCTAGGATTCTAGGATTCTATGATTCTATGATTCTACTAGCCAACAAATAAAAGATGGCTGGACTCTGCCAATCTGGAAAAGTACTGACTGCCCATTGGAAAAGGAGGAAGGTTTTCCAAATGGGGCAGCTGAGGTGGAAAGCCAGATTCCATGAGTCAGAGTCTCCATCAGGTCTCCCTTGAAGGCAACCAAAGGTCTCCTCTCAACAGGAGACACGGCCATTGGGAAAGCAGAGGGACAAAACCACAGAATATCAGTGGAGTCTCTCCGTGGATGGACTTCCTCCTGGTCCATGGATTTCATGACTGGAAAGTCCTCTTTGGGGGAATGAATAAAACTCAAGCCACGCAAAGTGTCCTGAGTTGCCCTTCAAAAACAGTCAATACAGTGTTGAAAGTAAAAGAATAATGCCTTACTTCAGCAGATACGAAGGATAAGCAAATGCAGTTGAAAAGTGCAAAAGAAAGCAAGAAAGTCGTAATCCAGAAACAAATTAAAGTCTCTTACAAAATCCCAAACGGAACAGCAGTCTTCCATCAGGGAGGAAAAACGAAATGCAAAGAGACAGAATGGGGGACGATGAGGCCTGGCTCGAGAGCAGTACGTGTGAAAAAGATCTCGGAGTCCTCTGGACAACAAGTTAAACATGAACCAATAATGTGATGTGGTGGCAAAAAAGCCAGTGGGATTTTGTCCTGCATCAAGAGGAGCCTAGTGTCTAGATCTAAGGAAGTCATGCTCCCCATGCTCTATTCTGCCTTGGTTAGACCACACCTGGAATATTGTGTCCAATTCTGGGCACCACAATTCAAGAGAGATATTGACAAGCTGGAATGTGTCCAGAGGAGAGCAACTCAAATGATCAAGGGTCTGGAGAACAAGCCCTATGAGGAGCGGCTTAAGGAGCTGGGAATGTTTATCCTGAAGAAGAGAAGGCTGAAAGGAGACCTGATGAGAGCCATTTATAAATATGTGAGAGGAAGTCATAGGGAGGAGGAGGGAGCAAGCGTCCTTTCTGCTTCCCTGGAGACGAGGATGCAAGGGAACAATGGCTTCAAACTACAAGAGAGGAGATTCCATCTGAACATGAGGAAGAACTTCCTGACAGTAAGAGCTATTCAGCAGTGGAACTCTCTGCCCCGGAGGGAGTGTAGTGGAGGCTCCTTCTTTGGAGGCTTTGAAACAGAGGCTGGCCGGCCATCTGTCAGGGGTGATTTGAATGCAATATTCCTGCTTCTTGGCAGAATGGGGTTGGACTGCATGATGGCCCAGAAGGTCTCTTCCAACTCTAGGATTCTAGGATTCTATGATTCTATAACTAAGTCTTTAGCAGCAGACACAAAGCAGATTCCATTGGAGTGAAAACATCAGTATCAGGGTTGTCGTTACCAGCGAAACAACACTGGTAACAACGTTTATATGCCTTCACATTGTTTGGAATTCTTAGTAACATAATACGAACACATCATGGGGGTTTTCAAGCAAGGTTCATTGAGAAGAGGGTTTCCAGGAAGCAGGCTCCTGCTAATGATTTATAGCTCTGAATTCCCCACGCAGGAGGTACTAGGGCATCTCCCAATTAGCTCAGCGTTTTTAGCAGCTATCCTAGCTGAACGCCGTCAGTGTTCTGTCTCTTTTCATCTCTCTAGAAATGTGGGCACTTTCAAGACCTCACTGTCTGATTCTTCTCCTGCCTCCAATTCCTCAGCACTTCCCTGCTCCCCTTCCTCTTCCGAAGATGAGGAATCCCTAACACAAAGGTCTCCAGTGAGGGAGAGAAGCCATCGAGAGACAAGGCTCTCTGGGATGATGGAGGGTCCCTCACAGGTGGAGCCTGGTCTCCTGATAGCCTTTCACGTTTCAGACATGGCCATGCATTCTCTCCTCGGGACTCTTAATGGACCAGGACCAAAGGCAGGGAGCTGGAAGCCACCCCCAGGACAGTGAAAACACTGCATTCACTGTATTGTCGAAGGCTTTCATGGCCGGAATCACTGGATTGTTGTAGGTTCTTTTGGGCTATATGGCCATGCAGGCGAAACGTCAGGAGAGAATGCCTCTAGAACATGTCCGTATAGTCCGAAAAAACCTACAACAATCCACTTCATTCACTACAGGAAGAAACATTCCCTGCTGGATTCACATTTGAAAAGATGCAATATGTGACATTTTGTGCTCACGCACAACCAGCATTGTGTAAGAGTCTGCTTCCTTAACAATGCATTGCAATATGAGTAGCATATATATATTATAATTTGGAGATACGTTTCGTATAAGAAGTAATGTGCCTCTGTGGCCCCGGGCCATGCTATTCTCTCCTAAGCAAGTTCCCCAGACTGCCTGATGTCTGTGAGATAAAGGCTGAGATGGAAATGTCTGGCAGACTTGTTATTTTTATATGCCTTCACATTGTTTGGAATTCATAGTAACATAATGCGAACACATCACGGGGGTTTCCGAGCAAGGATCGTTGAGAAGAGGGTTGCCAGGAAGCAGGCATTGTGACAAGGCTCTGGGTTCAGTCACGTGAAAAATGGCTTTGAGGGAGGAATAGAATCAAGTGTTTTACTGTGTTATGTGAAAAAAGCATACAATCTACAAAATACAGCAATCAGGATACAAGTATTATTATTTCCCCAATCCCACCACCCCCTTAATCCCACTCATGAACCACCACCCATAACTTATCATAGAATCAAAGAGTGGGAAGAGACCTCCTGGGCCATCATCCAGTCCAACCCCATTCTGCCAAGAAGCAGGAATATTGCATTCAAAGCACCCCCGACAGATAGCCACCCAGCCTCCCTACTGCTAACCCTTTGAGAAGCAAAACAACCACCTCCTCCTCCTCCTCCTCCTCCTCCTCATAGAATCATAGGTTGGAAGAGACCTCCTGGGCCATCATCCAGTCCAACCCCCTTCTGCCAAGAAGCAGGAATATTGCATTCAAATCACCCCTGACAGATGGCCATCCAGCCTCTGTTTAAAAGCTTCCAAAGAAGGAGCATCCACCACACTCTGGGGCAGAGAGTTCCACTGCTGAACGGCTCTCACAGTCAGGAAGTTCTTCCTCATGTTCAGATGGAATTTCCTTTCTTGTAGTTTGAAGCCATTCTTCCATTGTGTCCTTGTCTCCAAGGAAGCAGAAAACAAGCTTGCTCCCTCCTCCTCCCTGTGGCTTCCTCTCACATATTTATGCATGGCTATCATATCCCCTCTCAGCCTTCTCTTCTTCAGGCTAAACATGCCCAGCTCCTTAAGCCGCTCCTCATAGGGCTTGTTCTCCAGACCCTTGATCATTTTAGTCGCTCTCCTCTGGACACATTCCAGCTTGTCAATATCTCTCTTGAATTGTGGTGCCCAGAATTGGACACAATATTCCCGGTCAAGTGGTCTAACCAAAGCAGAATAGAGCATGGGGAGCAGGACTTCCCTAGATCTAGACACTAGGCTCCACTTGATGCAGGCCAAAATCCCATTGGCTTTTTTTGCCACCACATCACATTGTTGGCTCATGTTTAACTTGTTGTCCACGAGGACTCCAAGATCTTTTTCACACGTACTGCTCTTGAGCCAGACCTCATCGTCCCCCATTCTGTCTCTTTGCATTTCGTTTTTCCTGCCAAAGTGGAGTCTCTTGCATTTGTCCCTGTTGAACTTCATTTTGTTAGTTTTGGCCCATCATCTCTCTCATCTGTCAAGATCGTTTTGAATCCTGCTCCTGTCCTTTGGAGTCTTGGCTCTCCATCCCAGTTTGGTGTCGTCTGCAAACTTGATGATCCTGCCTTCATCTAAGTAATGAATGAAGATCCTGAGCAGGACCGGGCCCAGGACGGAACCCTGCTTGTGGCCCTCCACTCGTCACTTCTTTCCAGGATGAAGAGGAGGAAGCCTTGGGAAGAATCACCCTCTGGGTTCGTCCACTTAACCAATTCCAGATCCACCTCACCATAGTTTTGCCTCGCCCACTTTGGACTAGTTTCCTTGCCAGAAGGTCATGGGGGACCTTGTCAAAGAAGGCCTTCCTCAAATCCAGACACGCTCCATCCACGGCATCATTCCCCGCATCTACCCAGCTTGTAACTCTATCAAAAAAAGAGATCAGATTAGTCTGGCATGACTTGTTTTTGATAAGTCTGCAGTTGTGCGGAGACCATGGCTTTCCTGGTCCTGGTTCTGTCTCACTGGAGCCATGTCATTGCAGAGCCATAGAAAGCCATGCACCAGGTGAGGGTTCGTTGACGTGCACATCTCCTCCTGTGG